AAAATCCAAACATTTTAAAGGAAAACCCCTACTTATTCCTAGTAAAGTAAGCTCTGAAATAATAAAGCTATACCAGTAATACCAAGATTGTCCTGTGAGCTAGTTGGATGTCCATATTAGTGCTGCTACTGGGATGCTTACATACGTCAGGATATCACTGTGATCATACGCAAAAGTCAAAAAAAAAAACTACGATATATTAATGTGGGAATACATCTCACTTGTCCGGAAAGTAAGTGATACTGTGTGCAGTTTTCACGAACTGCATGTTAAGGGCCGTCACGAGTGGTGAAGTCCGAGGATCTCTATGGAAGGCAGTTTGGACGAGGGCAGATATTCGGCCGGATTGAGGTTAGAATTCCGAAACTTTTTACCACCTAATAAGACTGCAAGTGCGCTTTGTCAATCAGCAAGTTTTATAAACTGCTACCATTTCAGATTTCACTCTATTACGGTGTGAATGAGAGACAACTTGTGGTTACTGTGAGGCGTGCATTGGATTTGCCTCCTCGGCCGGATGGGACGGCACGCAACCCATATGTCAAGTTATTTCTTCTTCCGGATCGAAGTGAAAAAAGTCGCCGGCAATCCGCTGTACTTGTGGAGACCTGCAAGCCCATATGGAATGAACCATTTTACTATCACGGACTCACGGAACCAATGTTAATGGATCGTGTCCTTGAAGTATGCTTTTTTTGCTTGATCGAAAATTTAATATTCTTAAATCACCTGCTTAATATTAATTGCACTTTTAATTACTTCGTGTTTCTAATTAACTAATTATCTGGAGTTCCCGTATATTTGAGCGATTTTTTGATAAGCATCTCAAAAAAGGAGTCCGTCGGCAACCTCATCGGCGAGTAGTTGTTGCTTGTACATGGTGTCGCGAAAAACCTGCGAAAGGCCAGCCAAGAAGCCACCACAGAGAAAAAAAGAAAAGAACGATATACCTTGTCTTGGAAGGCAGATACACAGTAGACGTGCTGCCAGGCAGCACTTGAGCATAGGGACAGGTAGTGTAGTGGTAACATATTGCATCCAAATGTAAAGAGAAGCTGTTCGATTCCCTTCCGGTCCAGAACAATTTTCGATAAAAGGCTCCGTTCACAACATTTAATGCTACGCAAGCTCTTTCTGGATTTCTTCACCTCTAATAAGTAGAGAACACTGAAAAGGCTGAAATTTATCCATTGCACAAAGTACTTGATTGTTATTCACCGTATCATGGATTCGTTGAAAACTGACTAAATTTTACCGTAAATTTGGCCAATTTTTTTGTTAATAACATTTCTAGTTCTGAGATCTTGCGGTGAAACACTGCGCACTAACCTTGTTGTGCATTCAAAATTTGAACTTGCTGCATTGGCTTGTTGGAGAGCTGGAAATCTGTGTTTGTGAAATATGCACCTTAGAACATAACTCCGAGCATCAGGAAATATGCCTGGATGTACATATATCCCTTAGGTCACTGTGTGGGACTACGATCAGTACGAAACGAATTCGTTCATGGGCGAAGTCCTCATCGATTTCTCGACTGCACAACTGGACGACGAACCATTCCTG